TGACTGGTTGGCTCGAATTCTGTGGCCCTCTATGTATAGGAAGCTTCTTTAGAGAGGGTGTGGGAAATTGGAATTAAGATACTTATTTTGGTGCAGAAAATGGAAATCATATATGAGGAATCTTCACACAGTTTGTGGAAATTCATACTATGAAAAAAATGCAGGGATTTCAAAAATTTTTTGCACCAAAATAAGATTCAATTTTCTTAATGTTTTTGAAGTTATATGTTATCTCTTTAGATAAGTTTAGAATACATCAAGCAAAATACTACAGTTCAGGGAAATTGGGGAGGGTGTGAAGCCAGGTTTTGGGGGAACAAGCAATTATGGCTCAGGGAGTCCTTTTGTTCCCTTTGGAACATGAAAGAGTGTGGAGGAACACAGTGTTTTAGGATGACTGAGCTGGTGGTGCACAGCATCAGTGGGAGGCACTGGACAGGTTTTGGCAGCTGCTGTTGACCGTCCTCTGTGAGGACATCGTGGGCGTGGATGCAGCACGAGTGGACATACAAGCGAGAGTTCAAAGCCGGCTCCAGGGGCCATGCCTGAGGGCTGACCGTGGTGCAGGGCGCCAGCCTATCCTTGGCTGGGATCACCTCTTGTTTTGTCCTTGTCTCTGACACCCGAATCGTATCGGGTACTGTCAGTATTAATGGCATGCATAAACGGTGGTACCAAAGACAGAAAAGAAAGCTTTAGGAAACAGTGGATATGGACACGTGATGAGTTCAAGATTGAACATGTGGGGCGTCGCAGGTGGAGATGTACAGTGACCAGAGAGGGGTAGGGTGCACCTGGTTGCAGTTCATCCAGTGTTTAGGATCTGAGTACGGCAGGAGGATTAACCAAGTGAGCCATGGCGCCGGCCCCCTGGAGTTTAGTATTAAGCCCTGGAAGAAAAGAGCGGGGAGGACTACCGGTGTCTTGGGGCGGGGGGGGGGGTCTCCTCCTCCCCTCTGCAGAGGAATGCCCGCCGCCCTGGGCATTGCCTTCCCTGGCCGCCCCAGCAGCAGGTCCCGGTGGTGGTTCTGAAAGGCTCCTTTGTTAAGTCCAGCCTTCTCAGGTGAAGGAAGAGGAAGCATGGTTTGGCTTGTGGCTTCTTCCGGTCGCCCTTCCCCCTCGGGCCGAGCCCTCCCTGCCCGACCCCAGGAGCCTGTGGACACAGGCTGTAAAGCTGACTGTGTCCTGGCGATGACCCAGGACAGGCTTTAGGGAAACTTTCCACAAGAAAGTAACCCAGTCGCTCTTGAAGGCCACAGGATCTTTGGGGAGAAGGGGGATGGGAGGGAGAGGCGCGGATGAAGTAATTTCACAGTGTTTATTTGCATATATTATAGACAACATTTCAAACGTATTAAACACGAGAAACAGAAGGGCACTGTATTCTGAGTACATCCTGTATCCCTTGGAAACAAATGTGCAAACATCTCGGATCCAGACCTGGGTACAAATTTTAGATTATGGAAATACGACTTCTACTTCTTACTTACTGCTCAGAGGATTAAAAAGGAATGAGTGTGTATTTATGGCCATGTTGAGAGAAAGCAAGCTATGTTTTGTGGATCAGAAGGGTGTCTTGTTTTTTAAAAGTGGCGTCTCTTCCTATTTATTTCACATACAATTAGGAACTTCCCATGACTTAAAGGTCAACTGTGAGCTGATACACTTCTGTGTTTTCTTCTTTAAAAAGATTTTTGGGTGCTGGTGCTGTAGCACAATGGGTTAAAGCCATGGCCTGCAGCACCAGCATCCCATATGGGCACCGGTTCGAGTCCCAGCTCTTCCTCTCCCAGTCCAGCTCCCTATAACAGCCTGGGAAAGTACTGGAGGATGGCACAAGTCCTTGGGCCTTTGCCCTCAAGTGAGAGATCTGGAAGAGGCTCCTGGCTTTGGCCTGGCCTACCCCTGGTCGTTGCAGCCATTTTGGGGAATGAACCAGCAGATGGAAGATGTTTCTCTCCTCTCTCTCTGTAACTGTGTTTCAAATAAATACATCTTAAGATTTTTTTTTCAAATTTATTTTTCACTTAAGAGGCAAAAAGAGAGAGGGAAAGACCTCCCATCCACCGGTTCATTCCCTAAATGCCCAGCAACTGGGAACTCAAGCTGGCTGTCCCAGGTAGGTGGTAGAGACCCAGCCACTTGAACTATTACCTGCTGCCTCCAGTGTGCACATTAGCAGGAAGCAGGAACAGGAAGCAGAGCCAGGACTCGAACCCAGGCACTCTGATATGTGAGCATCCCAAGCAGTGTCTTTTTTTTTTTTTGACAGGCAGAGTGGACAGTGAGAGAGAGAGACAGAGAGAGAAAGGTCTTCCTTTTGCCGTTGGTTCACCCTCCAGTGGCCGCCGCTGCAGCCGGCGCACCGCGCTGATCCGATGGCAGGAGCCAGGAGCCAGGTGCTTTTCCTGGTCTCCCATGGGGTGCAGGGCCCAAGCACCTGGTCCATCCTCCACTGCACTCCCTGGCCATAGCAGAGAGCTGGCCTGGAAGAGGGGCAACCGGGACAGAATCCGGCGCCCCGACCGGGACTAGAACCCGGTGTGCCGGCGCCGCAAGGTGGAGGATTAGCCTATTGAGCCATGGCGCCGGCCCTTTTTTTTTTTTTTTTTAATTTGACAGAGTTAGAGAGACAGAGAGAAAGGTCTTCCTTCCATTGGTTTACCCCTCCAAATGGCCGCCACGGCTGGCGTGCTGCGCCGATCCAAAGCCAGGAGCCAGGTGCCTCCCCCCGTATCCCACGCGGGTGCAGGGCCCAAGCACTTGGGCCATCTTCCACTGCCTTTCCGGGCCACAGCAGAGAGCTGGACTGGAAGAGGAGCAACCGGGACTAGAACCGGGCGCCCATATGGGATGCCGGTGCCGCAGGTGGAGGATTAGCCAAGTGAGCCACGGCGCCGGCCCCCCAAGCAATGTCTTAACCTCTGCACCCAGCCCCTCTCCAGTTGTCTCCTTAGAGTTCTGAGGAACTCCCACCGATGGGTAAACCAGGAGGCATCGTGAAACGCACTGATGATTGTCAATGTGACATACTGTGGTTGGAACCTGGCTCGTCAGTAACAAGTAGATCTAGTCCTCAAATCACCTGAGCACGTGGCTCCAAGCCTGCCAGTTGAGGGGCGCACTTCTCCCGGGCCAGCTAAGTCCACTGTCCATCCGCTTTGGAGCATTAAGTACTTTGCTGTGTACTTGGGCATGTCTCCCGTGAAGAGGAAATGCATCCAGGAAGTCAGGTACGCTCCTCGTGAATCACGAATTCACTTATTCACTCAGAAACATGCATTCGTACTCGGTCACACTCCCTTGACCCTTGCTGAGCCAGGTCTTTGTGCCAGACACCTATTAAGAGCGTTAGGTCAGCCGGTGCCATGGCTCACTTGGCTAATCCTCCACCTGCAGTGCCGGCATCCCGGTTCTAGTCCCAGTCGGGGCGCTGGATTCTGTCCCGGTTGCCCCTCTTCCAGGCCTGCTCTCTGCTGTGGCCCGGGAGTGCAGTGGAGGATGGCCCAAGTGCTTGGGCCCTGCACCCCATGGGAGACCAGGAGAAGCACCTGGCTCCTGGCTTCACATTAGCGCAGCACCGGCCGTAGTGACCATTTGGGGGTGAACCAATGGAAGGAAGACCTTTCTGTCTCTCTCATTGTCTAACTCTGCCTGTCCAAAAAAAAAAAAAAAAGGTCCATTGTCTTATTTAAATCTTTCCCATGACCTTGCAAGTGCTGAGGGGGGTTTTATTTTCTTCATTGTACACGTTAGGAAACTGAGGCATGGAGAGGTTTGCTAGCGGTTAATTCTTAACCGTCAGGCCAGATGGCCTGCCCCGCTTGTCAAACTGCCTTGGCCTGGAACACATGGGAAGCTTATTCACCACGTGTATTTTTCCTAGTAACCTCATAGGTCATTTCAGTATGTAGGAAATGCCCTGGAACTGACGACTCCAAGAATTTGGTAAAAGCTTGTTTACTTTTCAGCAACTTCACAGTTTGAGGACCTTTCGATGTTTGTCTCCATTCCACCAAACAGAGCAGACCTTTCAATTCAGGGTGAAGCCCAAATGCTCTTGATAATTAATGAAGCTGCTGAGGCCAATTCTAGGAAAAAATAACACTTCACATCCAGCGTGATGCAATCGGAGATGCTGGCGCCTGGGCTGCGCTGCTGCTCATACAAAGCACCTTATTGACATCACAGGCCCACGGAGGGGCTCCCTGCAGGCACCCAAGGTGCAGGAGCACCCTGTGCCAAGGAGTCTGCCACTAAGAATAAAAACTGCAGACTCACCAGCTGGGCCGGCTGTTTCTCCTGCTCACTAGCTGGCTCTCGGGCCAGGACTCCTGCTGTGTGTGTGCGTGCGTGCGCGTGCACATGCAGGCCCTCTCAGTCTCCTGGGAAACCCAGAGTTTGGGCTTCACACCCAACCTGACATATCGCAGGGTGATGAATTCTCACCAACCCCACATCCGGAGTGAAATCTGGAAGCCCCAGCGTGGGGCTTTGGAAGAAGCTGCTACAGGCTATTTTAACAGCAGATCTTAAACTATTAAAGGGCTACTGTTACAGAAAGTGAAGCTTGGGGAAGTGGTTTAAAAAATGTGTGTCTGTGTAACCCAAGTAATGGGTGTCTGCTGTAGAAAAACCAAGAACATACAAATGACCAGTAACATCGTCATGACAGCCTGTTTTGCTGTGTCCTACATCTTGGTTAATCTGGGACAGGAAGTAAGTTGAGGGAACCATTTGGAGAAAAGATGATGCAAGCTTGAGTTTTCCACCAGAATGTTTAGGGAAAATAGCTGGTCAATCCCTCTGCTGTACAGTTGCTCATAAAATTAACATTGGAGAAAACAGAAGTCAAACAGTGTGGAAGTTACCAGATTGTCCTGAGCGGAAGAGGCTTGTCTCTTGGCCCCTGGCCAGTGCACCTCACGTCTCTGCTGCTTGGTCATGGCTGGAGGTATGCAAATCTATACCAAGAACTGTGTATCTGCTTTTTCTCCCAGACACCAAATGGATTGCTTCTGACCCCAAGTCCACTGCTGTCCAGCATACATTTCTGGAGCAGCCTTAGTCCAGTTGCTCCATTGAGTCCTGCCCGGCTACAGGGGCCAAACACGCTGTTCCAGGTGAGCAAACATCGAACTTAGGAGGGCTGTTTTCTCTTCTGAGTTGCAAAGTTACAGGTGGTGATTTCTGTCCTATGTTTGATTACAATGTTAAGTTTCCAAAGGGAGTTCAAGTGAGGGGGGCTGCATACCCTTCAGAGGCAGACATTTTTCACTGGGGGCAGAAAGGCATGTTCATGTCAGGTATCCCTGTGTGGAACAATTAATTCTTAAAGTGCTTTGGATGTTTTCATTTGGTAATGCGAACTAGAAATGTATTAAGGTTTTAACTTTGAGAAAAAGTTTTCAAAGTTCCTAAGAAGCTTTAGAAGATAAATCCTATTAGTGTCGTGACTGACTTGAAGTAGATTACAAAATAAAAGCAGTGAACAGTTTCTCCCTATTGGGATAGAAACGTGTCTGCAAACGTCTGCGAATCAAAACCGGCTGTTCCTCATTCTGCAGCAAAAAAGGCCCATCCAGAGCATTCAGTTAAAAATGATGAGACTGGGCTGCTCCACCTGGTAGAGCTCTCCGCACTCGGTGAGCGCCTTCCTGTTCATTCACACACTGGAATCCTGCAGCAGCACGCCCTGCTGTCGGCTGGGAAGCATCATCTCCTCTTTGAGGTCCAGAGACTGTTAACCACCAACCACGGTGCTGTTGTTTGAATATGTGAGCACAGGTAGAAAGGATCCGAGGGACAGGAATGAAGCCAAAGGTGGGCACACGGCAGCCTTGTCTCACCCACCCTGCATTCCACACCCCACAGTGTGGCTCGCTCCAAGTGAGCCGCAGTCCTTGGGCTCCTGTACCATCTGGCACTGACTGCCCGCTGTCCTGTCCATCTTTCCTCCACTAGACTGTGGGTCTGCAAGAAACCAGGAATCCTATTCCCCATGGTGCCCCTCAGCATCTAGAGCATTGCTTGGTACACAAATGGTACTCCTATTTATGGCTGACTGTGTAAATGAGCGGATGCTAGAATTTGTAGAGATATCTAAGAAAGGAAAATGTTAGATCAGGGAGACTTGACCTTTTTAACTGGTCATTTTGCTTGTTAAGGTGACCATTTGCTAGGGGTTAGACATGCTAGGATTCAGGATCTTGTTGGAAGGGTGGGTCTGACTAAATAGGTTTTGATTGCTATCTTGGTTCTCTGGTTTCCTAGTAGTGGAGTCGGGTGTCATGGTGTGACTGTGTCCCTGGGGTACTCAGGTTTCTTTCTTTCCCCTGCTCTGTATTCCCATTACAAGGAATTGAGCTATGGTCATGCACAGCTAACATGCTGACTTTGAACCATTTCAACTTGGAGATGTATAAACTAGAAATAGCAAAAAGCAAATACAGTATTAGGAAAGTTCTAGATTAGGAATACTAATCTTTTGTTGGGGAAATCCAAGAGCTTGTTTTGCCTAAGCCTTGAGATTCAAGCAGTATTCTGGTAGGAAGGAGCTGTGCGGCTACAGTAAGGCCCGCGGAGTTGGGGTTGCACACTCTATAATCCTAGAATGGAGCAGCGTCTGCAGAGTCAGTAGGTGTCTGGAAATAATGAATGGCCGCTCATTGCTTTCCTTAGTGCGAATTCTGGCATCTGATTGCTACAGGGCTTGTTGACCTCTTAGAGAATAACTAATTCGGGATTTTTTTTGGGACTCCTTGCCTTACATCTCAACTTTTCCAGCCCAGTATCCCTAGTAGCAACACTGGTTTAGTCCACAGTGATTGTATACACTATGGCTTCTCTGGGAGTTGGGAGAGGTGCACACCCTCCTCAGTCACTTCTGCAGACCAGTGGCTCTCAAATTTAGCATGTGACAGGATCACCCTGGGGGTGTGGCACCTGATAAAAACATTTTCTTTCAAGGTTCTAGTGATGCTGCTGGTCTAGGAATCAGTGCAGAACAGTGGTTCCTAAATTACACTTGGAATTCAGAATTACTACATTTAAAGGCTACCTGGTTAGGGTTTTATTTTAGTTACACCAAATGGACTTCTCTCCTGGAGCCATTCAAAATACAGCTCTGAAAAAAATATACATTGCAGTCTCAGTGGCTGACAGCTTGCATGCTTTTGGGCCCTCTTTTGTGGTTGCATCCATGAGACTAAAAACAATTTTGTTCATTTTAAAATATTACTCTTCCTGTGAAAAAAGCAGTTGAGGGTGGTAAAAGTTGAAAGAGGTAAGCAACAAAATATGGTAAGAGGACTAATTTTTTTTCTTGAAAGGCAGAGAGAGAATCTTCCATCCACTGAGTCACTCCCCAAATGTCTGCAACAGCTGGGACTGGACCATGCTGAAACAATGATCCTAGAACTCCGTGCAGGTCTCTGCCATGGGTATCAGGAACTCGGGTACTAGCCATCAGCTGCTGCCACCCAGGGTGCAATTGGGAGTGGTGGAATTGGGAGTGGTACCAGGACTTGAACCCGGGCAATCTGATAGAGAATGCAGGCATTTCAAATGCTTTAATTCCTATGCCAAACCTCTACCCCAATTCTTTCTCATGTTTAAGACTGAACATTACAGTTGATAGGTTTTCAGAATTCAGATTACTGTCAATCAGTAGTGCCCTTTAAGTATCTCTTAATCGACAGTGTCCATTTTAAACCAATGAAGATAATTTTGTTTTAAAGCAACAACTTCTTTCACATATGCTATCAATGTGTTGGAGAGAAGAACGAAGCAGACTTGGCCTATAACAGCTGTTGAGTGATGTTGGCCAGTTTCCTGTTGTGATCATTGGAAAGGCAAGTCCCCTTGGGTAATAGCTGACAGAGCTATTTTTGCACAGAATACCTGATAGAATTGTTAGATATTGAAGAGCTTCAGGGAAGGAGAGATGGGAAAGGAAACCAGCCTTTCTGGAAGAGAGGTACACTTTGTAATTGAGAATTTTTTGACAAAGATTTGAGAGGGGGAGAGAGATGGGGGGAGAGAGGGAAAGAAAGAACTTCCCTCTGCTGGTTCACTCCCCCACATGGTCAAAACAGCACCTAGCCAAGTGCCTGGAACTCTCTCCAGGTTTCCCACGTGGGTGCAAGGACTTGGGACACCTTCTGCTTTTTCCCAGGCACATTAGCAGGGAGCTGGATCGGGAAAGCAACAGGGACTTGAACTGGCACCTCTGTGGGTGAAACACTGGTGTCTCAGGTGGTGGGTTGTACCCTCTGTGCCATAACACTGGCCCCAGAGAAATGTTTTAACGAGGAAAGGTTCCAAATGTAAATACAGAACCTTGATTTACAAGTAAGTGTACAGTCTCTTAACACTAGACAGTTGGACGTTTTGAGTTTGTTAGATGTCTGTTCGTCATGTTTAAAATGGAGTTGGATCAAATTTCGGATATACCTAGTAGGTACAGATGTATGTTGAAATAAGGTGGAGCTAATTAAGTTTTCAGTTGAGAAATGTGTTCTGTAATTTTTAACTCCACAAATCTAACCCAGCAAATATTTGCAGTGCTGTGTGGCAGCGACTGCAGGGAATACAGCAAGTGAATGCTGGGTAAACAAAGTGCCCAGGGAAACTGCCAGAGTAGCTCTTTGCAGCTGGGTACTGGACAGGGGCTCTAAGGAAGCAGCACCACTGAACTGAGTGGGGAAGGAAGGACAGGATTTTCACAGTGAGTAGAGCACAGTTTAGGCTAATAGATGGGCATGACTTGAATATGAAAGTCAGTTCAGGAATGGACAGTGATGGGCGTTCAGGTCAGATGAACAGCTGTGGGCCTTCAGTAGTATCTGCGAGGGGCTCCACCTTCATGGTTGAAGCTTTTCAAGCTGCAGAGCAGAGTGTAAGCTTTCAAGTTGTCACTACTGTCAGCGTGGAGAGGACTAAAGAAGTGGAAGGGACAGAAAAGATGAGTGGAAACCTATACAGTGCTCCAAGTCCTCTCAGGCTGGGACAGTGGACACAGGAGTCTATTTAGAAGACATCTGAGAAGACTTGAGTTGGGTTTAAGGAGTCAGCAGGTGGTGAGAAATGGGGAAAGGCATGGTTACCTACTATTAAAAGACTGGAAATGCTAATAGCATTTATTGAGGGCTTACCATGTGCCTGACATTGTTTGAAACACTAAAAAAAAATATTGCATATTCCCAATAATTCTGTTTTAAAGATTTATTTTCTTTGAAAGAGTTAGAGAGGTAGAGACAGAGATCTTCCATCCACTGGTTCACTCCCCAGATGGCCGCAACGGCAGGAGCTGCGCCAATCCAAAGCCAGGAGCTTCTTCCGGGTCTCCCATGAGGGTGTAGAGGCCCAAGGACTTGGGCCATCTTCCACTGCCTTCCCAGGCTACAGCAGAGAGCTGGATCAGAAGAGGAGCAGCCAGGACCAGAACCGGCACCCATATGGGATGCCAGTACTTCAGGCCAGGGCTTTAACCTGTTGAGCCACAGCACTGGCCCCAGTTCTATTTTAGAACTGAGAAAACTAAGAGATACTGCCCAACTTACCCAAGATCACACACTAGTAAATGGCAGAGCCCTAATTCAAGTTGAGAGCTAAATTTATTCCTAGTCACCACTGAGCACCAGATTAAAAAGTAGGTCTTGTGGGAAGAGGCATTGGTTGGGGACATTTAAAATGGAATAGTTGTCAAGTCCAGGCATGGTATGGGAGAAAAGATGGCTGAGGCAAGAAGGGGACTGTGGTGGGAGAGCAGCCAATAAAGATGACCAAGGTACACGCCAGGAAAGGCCGGCTAATCGAGAGGAATGCCGGCAGTGGAGTGTGTGCACATAAACAAAGCCAAAGCTGATGAGTAAAGACCAGAGAGAAGACTCGAATCAAAGGAATCAAAGTTCAAAACCTGCTCTTCCAGTGTTCACTTCTAAGTCAACAGGAATAGTGGTTAAGAGCATGGGTTGAACACACAAAATTATATGTGAATCGATAACATAAGTGGATGAAACTATAGAAAAAATTCCAAAATATCAGAAATGAGAAATGTTGCATATGCTCAAAACTACTAAAAGTGAAAGTTATTAAAGACCTGTGCCACAATGAACTGGGCAGTTTGACGGAGGAAATATTTCAGACAGTTTAAAACTTGGTTTTGCTGCTGACTTGCTGTGACCTTTCACCAATCAGAATTTCTTTCACTGTTTTTCTCATCTGGAAAATGGAGATTACAAAACTTACTGTGTAGCCCCCAGATAGCATAGGATGTGATAACCTTTGATAAAACTGTTAAGGTATAGACAATGTTACTGAAACAGCCTGGAAATTACAAAGAATACTCATTGACTTGCTCTACAAATATTTATTGTACTTCTAATATGTGCCAGGCCCTTAAGTTCGATACTCAGTGCTTAAGTTTAATATTTAACTCCAGCTGAACTAAACAGGAATTAAGCTAGAAGACAGTCCAGATGATTTTGACAAATATCATCCTAGACATACCTAGTTGCAAGTCGTCACCTATCAAAAGGAGTCCTTTCTTTATTCCTGGCCAGTTGAGTGTATAGCTAATGTATTTGTTTGAAACAAGTTTCACCTTTGAAAGTATATACCTTATCCTACTATGTATCTTGATTACCAGCAACACAGAAATTATTTTCATTCTTTAAGCTTGTCACTTATGGGTGATCTCTAATAGATTTGTTTTTATCATTTTAATTAGAATACTTTCTCCGCTCCAAAGTAAAAATGTTTTTTCTATTCTAAGTCTTTTAAGGTAGAAACATAATACTGAGAAACATCTTTGTAGTACTCTGGAATATTGACAGTCAAAAATACAATGAGAAATTACAAATATGGTAGTCTGGTCTGACTGGGTCTTTTTTAATTTTTAAAGCAAACTGGCATTCCAAGTAGCTTGGAATCTTTAGAAATGGTTTTAGAACATTTCAGTAATTTATAAAGTATCTTCTAGCAGCCTCTGCATATAGAATAGACATTTTCAGGGCCCTACCCTGAATATATTGTGGGTAATCTTGTTCTCATTGTCACCTTCCAGTTACTCTGTGAAATACATTGGCAACCAGTCTCTACTACAAGGGTGATGAGAGAACTGAACTATGGTTTGGCAGTGTCAGGGACCCAAGTTCTTCCACTGAATTTGTAATAATTAATTAAAAAAATCTTTTCTTCCCTACAGTTCCCCACACTGCTTAACGGCCACATGCCAGTGCCAATCCCCAGTCTGGACAGAGCTGCTTCTCCAGTACTGCTTTCTTCCAACTCCCAGAAATCCTGATGACATCTGGCCAAAATTAAAGACTCATTAACAGATGAAACAGATCTGTCCCATGGGCTAGTTTACCTGTGTCGTAAGAAGGACATCGTGAAACCCCCTGTTAATTTGGTTTGCACTTTTCATAACATGGATAGTCTAGATTTATGTTAGCATTTTAAAAACTGTTTTTATATATATTCAAATATATATGAAAATCTGTTTTGCATTAAGTGAATTTTAATGTCTGTTTTTATATCCTCGTAGCTCTTAAGTGTTGAACACTGTTGACAGTGAAGAACTTTTCTTAATGGTTTTCAGTAGAACTAATAAGGATGTGAAGCTTTTTCCTTAATTCTGCATATGCTGAACTGTGCTTATAACACCCTATAACCAGCTGTGCCTTCCTTTGCATTTAGTTTATGTAAATGATTTATATATTTTTTAGTATTAAGAAAAATGAAAGACAAAAATTAGTAACAAACAGCTCTCTAGTAGAATTTCACTGTTTTTCACAAATAAGCAATGTGAAAGCATAATCATATCACTTTTTTGCTTTCAATTGTTAAGAATTGCCTTAGAACATTTTTGAACTGAAACTCAATGTAGTGTCCAAGTAACATTTTTATATGAATAAACCAAGCCATATTTAGACAATAAAAATTCGTAAGAGAAAATGCTCTAAAGTACATTTTTAAAGAAATGAACTTAGATGCCTCTGAAACAAAAATCAGAAGAGTTACATCAAATTCACATTATCTTGAGCCCCTAGGGTATTTCCTGTTAGCATATTCTTATTTTAAAAACAAGCCCTGGTTCTCTCCATTTTCCACAGAGTCACATCATCTGATATATTTACTGTGTTAGAGCTCCCAGACTACAGATGACTCCAAACAACAGTTTTGCTACATCATGTGTTGTCACGATCTTCATGGGTCAGTAACCTCCTTACAACAAACCAAACTGGAAGTACTGCAGCTCTGACTTGTGGAAATTCAGAGGGAGGATACACTACTTAAAGAATTGCTAAATTTATGCTGAGAGTAAAGGAAATCTAAAAAATATTCTGAAGGAACTTATTGTGGAACTGAACTGATAACAGTCTGGAATACTGTAATAAATTCTTTTGTGTGCTGTGGTTTACAGCAGTGTTAATTTTTTTGTTCCTTCAGAAAATCAGCAGGCATTGCACCTGTATAGAAGTAGCAAAGTTAATTGTAACCATTAACTACAAGTAATAGGGATCAGTTTGAAATGAACCAAATAACTGATGCAAGCCAGGTGTTAAATTACAGGGATTATTAGAAAGATTAGAGAAAACACATGCCTCCTTGATTATGGAGTAATAGGAGTGCATCCAAAATCCACACAGACAATACTGTCACCCCCTTACAGGCTAAAGATGATTCTGTAGTAATACAATAAAGGGAGGTGGTTCAGGGAACTGGTAGTTACAGTAGAATGCAGGATGTTCAGAGTTAGGAGGGGCCTTCAAGAATGCCTCCCACCAGTTTCCAGGTCAGGACAGGTGCACGGGAGAAGCTGGGGGTTGCCTGAAGCCACAAAGCTCTGAAGACAGAACACTGAGTGTGTTCAGTCTGATTGTCCCCAGTGCCTTGCTATAAGTAATCATTGGCCCAAACTATGTTAGGTAAGAAAAAGATAAATTGTTTCGCGAGGTAAGATTAGTCTAAAATGCAAGAATCTTATAAAATTAATGTGCAAAATATATATATATATATACACGTTTAGAATTTTTAAGATGTAAAAGCTGACTGGAAATTTGGTCCAAAGGAATATAAATTGATTTTATTCGAATACTGTGATGAACACGTACTCTATTATAGATGGAAAAAATACAATTTTTGGTGGGTCAGGATACTCACTGTAGCAGACAAGGTATTGAAGTGTAACTCTTAAGCTCTGCCTCATTCTGTGCGTGTGCATGTGTGTGTGTGTTTTAAATATGTATTTTAGCCAGAAAATAGATTTCAAAGAACATTAGATACCCCACTCCCTTTTATATGTCTGCTTGATCAATGTTAAACTACTGTGGCTTAAGTTTTCTGGAACCACAAGTATATAACCTGAACATTGGTCTCTTTGTACACATCTTTTCTATGACTTGAAATCTTCATTCACTTTCATACATGTATCATTTTTATTGTTATACTATTTTTGTTCAATAAATACTTTGTGATAAAAGATGTTTAGAGGCAAATGGGCTAGTTTTCTTTCATTTACTTGGGATCATCCCAACTTCACTTTTCCATATGGATACAAGTTGTAAAATGAGTTTTGTTACCTACCTTAAATAAGGCATATCCACAAGTGCTTTAAAAATAAATTACTGTGGCTGAATTGAGAGAGAATGGAATGAGTTTGAAAAGCAGTCTCCTGATCTTTCACATTTTAAGTTCCATCAGTTGATCTGTACTGAGAAGGGGGAAGTAAGGAGGAAGGAAAAAAGCCAAGTTATCATTTATTCTCTTAGCCACTCTGTTGATACAGGGAATGTGAACTGCCAGGCTTGGTAATAAAGGTTGTTATCCCCCCAGTCTCACTTCAGTTTAATGCAGTTTCCATGATGGGTCTGATACAGAGACTGGCGTATACTGTGGTGGTGGTGGTGGGGAACATGCACGTAGAAACAGCAAATTAACAGAGGTGAACAACTCACTGTCCCTAGAGAGTGCTAAGAGGTCTCAGGTATCTCAGTGCCAGGCACTGTGACTCGGTCTTCCCAACAACACTATGAAGGAAGTACCATAAGCCATTTCACAGATGAGGAAACTGAGGCCCAGAATGGTTGTTAACTGTCTGAAGATCGTCATGTTGCCTAGATTTCAAACTCAGCATTTTGATTCTAGAGGCCAAGATCTTAAGCTACAGGGAACTTCAAAAGAATTTAAACTAGCAAGCTATATCTTCACATAAAAAGTACCTGGTACACAAAAATCTTAAGTACATGTTTGCACTATTTTTTTTTCTGGGAGAGCATATTTTTAGTTATTATAAAGCTGGCCTTGCCTACACTTCTCCAGTATTGACTTTATCCCCAGTCCTACTCTCCCAGTGTGAGGTATGTGTGTGTGGAGAACACCTTGATTTTAGGTTAGTCCTTAAGTTTCTGCAGATTAGTCATATACTTTAGTAGTCACATATTTTAGCCTGCCAGAAAGAAAAACTTGCTTTTGTATCATTTTTTGATTGCTGCATTTGTCTTTGTTCAGAGAGAATAGACAGTTCCAAGTTAATGTTACATAACTGATAAGACTGTAACCTAGGACCTCTCAGCGCGTGCTCTTAATTCAATCAACAAAAAATATTCTAAAATGTTTCTTGGACTGGGATATAGATTTGGGTAAGAAATAATCCTCTCCTTCATAAAGCTCATAGTTTAGTGAGAGGGAAATAAAGTACGGTTAAGTGTGGTTACAGGTTTAAGTATAAGGATGCTGTTGGAAAGAAAGGCTGTTAAATAGCAGAGCACATAACCCCGTCTGGGTAAGGTGCGGTGTGTGTCAGGGAAGGCTTTCTGGAAGAAATAACTGAATTGAGATCCAAATTGAGACCCAAAGAATGAATGAGTATCAAATAACAGAAGAAAAGGGCAAGCAGGAAAGAGGATGCTTCAATTCGGGTGAGAGAGGAAACACTTGAGGAATTCAGTGAAGAGTATGGTTGGATTTAACTTTACTGAAAAAAGGCCTACAGTTCATCATTGTAAGAGATAGTATTACAGAAATTAAACAATAGAGTCTAAATTCACAGAAGAGGAGAGGGCTTCTGCAACATCAGAGTGATTGGCGTGGAATTCTATGAAAGAGCAAAAGGCCAAGACTGGGCACCAAAAACAATCTTCTAGTAAAATGATGCATGGACATCATCCAGAGATGAGTTACATGACCCACAACAGGACAATATCACCTGTGAATTCACTTGACAGCCTCAGCTGCATAAACTCGAGGGAGAAAGGAAGATGACGAGGACGATGCTGTAAGAATCAAGAGCTACTATCAGTGCAGCTGGAGAAACAGACTTTGTAGCACTACTCACCAGCACTGTTCTAGGAAAGACTTGAGACCTAAGAGTCTTGTGTAAATACCAAGTTTGTATCCACTAGATTTCCCTGCTTTCACCGGAGTCCAGTGGAGCCATCCTTTAGTAAACACTCAAGACCACTGATAAATCTGAGCTTTCCTCACCTCCTGAAAAGTTCAGCAAATCATCCAGATGGGTCACCAGCTTTCTTGTACATTATTATTTTTTGGACAGGCAGAGTGGACAGTGAAAGAGAGAGAAAGGTCTTCCTTTGCTGTTGGTTCACCCTTCAATGGCTGCCGCAGCCAGCATGCTGCGGCCGGTGCACCGCGCTGATCCGAAGGCAGGAGCCAGGTGCTTCTCCTGGTCTCCCATGGGATGCAGGGCCCAAGCACTTGGGCCATCCTCCACTGTACTCCCAGGCCACAGCAGAGAGCTGGCCTGGAAGAGGGGCAACCAGGACAGAATCCGGCACCCTGAGTGGGACTAGAACCCTGTGTGCCGGCGCTGCAGGTGGAAGATTAGCCTATTGAGCTGCGGCGCTGGCCTATTATTATTATTATGTTATCTGTGCCACTACTGCAGTAGGGCTAAGATGGAAGACAATGGCAGGAGCAGCCATCACAATTCCTATCTAATTTCTGTTCATCTTTCTCAAAAATGCACAACTGTACATCAAACACACCAACTATGCTCAAACAGAGGCTTATTTTATAATCTCTCAAGTGGTAACTTTCTAGAAATGTTGGTTTTAACTAAGTTGAAAATTTCCACTTAGGTAGAAGCCACCAATCAAAAATTCTCTCAATCATCATGGCCAACAATTTAATGTTATTTCCTAATCAAAGCAGCTTTATATTCTTCCTGTTTTTATTTTTAGAAGAATGGTGTCTTAAGCCCCCCCACCACCCAGGTTCAGTGATGGAAACTGATTATTAGCTTAGCCAAGAATGATGACAGCTGAGGGACTCTCCTGCCTATGGAAGGATCTGGACTAGAACACTGTAAAGATGAAACCACTGACATTAAGAATAATCAACTCAAAGGTATTTTCTTTGGGGGGGGGGATATTTTAAAAACCTATAGTACTGAAAATAACTATAAATACATACAGGAAAGGAAGAAAAGTTGCACTACAAAAAACCCAATTTCATAATAAGGCATTATTACGAAAAGCATATAAAGCAAACAAAACAAATAATTGGCAGAAATAAGTCCTTCCTTACAAGTAATTTAAATAGTCTAAAGTCTCTAGGACAGATTGGTAGAATAGAAATATGATCTGGGCTGGCGCTGTGATGTAGTAGGTTAAGCCTCTGCCTGCAGCATCAGTATCCCATATGGGTGTCGGTTCATGTCCTGGCTGCTCTTCTTCTGATCCAGCTCTCTGTTTATAGTCTGGGAAAGCAATGGAAGATGGCCCAAGTGCTTGAGCCCCTGCACCCACATGGGAGACCTAGAACAAAGTCCTGGCTCCATGGCCTTGGATAGGCCCAGCTCCAGCTGTTTCGGCCATTTGGGGAGTGAACTAGCAGGTGGAAAACCTTTCTGTCTGTCCCTCCCTATCTTTCTCTAACTCTGTCTCTCAAATAAATAAAATCTTAAAAAAATATATGAATCATCAATATACAATATGTAAGAGACTCACTTTAGATACACAGACACAAAGAGATTAAAAACAAAAGGGTGGAAAAGGATATTCCAAATAACACCCAGAAGAAACAAGAAGTAGCCATATTTCTGTCAGAGAAAAAGAAACTGTTAAAAAAAAGTTATAGGGCATGCAGGGACATTATATATGTAAAAAGTCCACTCCATGGCCATGAGATACATGTACCCAACTATAGAGCCCTAAAACATATGAAGTAAACACTGACAAACCTAAAGAAAAATTACAAATTTTCAATAGAAAAACTACATAGATCAATTAAAAACAGAAAAATTGAACATTCTAAACCAATTAGAGACAACAGACATGTCAAACTCTCCACCTACCTCCTTTCTTAGAATGAGATAATCTTGTGTGCACATGAAACTGTTTCCTGAATAAATCCTATGAGGGTACTTTGGGAAGCTTATGGAAAATGAAATTAAAAGAAGTTTATTTTGGTGCAACAGAATACAATGATGGTATTCAACATAAGAAACGATGTAAGAAAATCAACCAATGCAATATATATTAACAGAATGAAGATAAATCACAAATAATTCAACTGATGTGGAAACATAGCTTAACAAAATTCACCTTTCAGGGTAAAGTCACTCAATAAACCAATGCTAGAAGGAACTTCATTAATATAAAGTCACACATGAAAAACTCACAGCTGGGGGCCAGTGTTGTGCCACAGTGAGCTGAACTGAGCTGCTGCCAACACCCCATATTGGAGCCCTGATTCAAGTCCTGGCTTCTCTGCTTCCAATCCAGCTCCCTGCCCAATGCACCTGGGAAGGAGGAAAAGACGGCCCAAGTACCTGGGCCCTTGACATCCACATGGGAAACCTAGATGGAGCTCCAGGCTCCTGGATTCTGGCTTCTGCCTAGACCAGCCCTGGCTGTTGCAGCCATTTGAGGAGTCAACCAATGGATAAATAAACAAATAAACAAATAAAGTACATCTTTAAAAAAGAAAAACCCACAGCACATACCATATTCAACAGTGGAAGACTGAAAGCTTTCCCTCTAAAGTCAGAAACAAGAGGAAGCCTACTTTACAATTTCTATTCAACATTTATTTTCCTGGAAATTCTAGTCAGAATAATTAGGCAAGCTACCACAGTACTCAAAACATTGTGGTACTGTCTTTATGGATAGATATATAGATGCACAGACTGATGGATCAGAACTGAGAACACAGAAATAAATCCTCACATTTATGATCAACTGATTTTTGACAAGGGTGTCGTATCTTTCTAGGAGGGAAGATAAATCTTTCCAACAAATGTTGCTGGAAAAACAGGCACAGGTAAAAGAATGAAGGTAGACTTTACCTTATACAATATGTAAAAATTAAGTCAAAATTGATTAAGGCCCTAAATCAAAGAGCTAAAACTATAAAACTCCTAAAATGGGTAAAGTAGGAACTGGCATTGTGGCATAACAGGTTTAGCTGGTTTGAGTCCAAGCTGCTCCACTTCCTTATTTTTTTTTTAAAGATTTATTTTAAATATTTGAAAGAG